CATTGATTTAGTTACAGATTTTGAGCCAGAGTCATGCATTACTTCAGACGATAAGACTCCACCAAAATTAGATTCTTAAGACTAAAAAAAATAAATAAAATTAGAAAGAGATGTTATTTGCTTACTTAGGAAAGGGTGTTTTTTTTTTTCTTTTTTTGGGTATTATTTTTTAAAACAAAATACTATATGAAAGATTTGGAAATTTTTAAATTTTTCGCCATTATAAAAAAAATATTATTCTTATTATGGTTATTTTTGTGTTATTAAATATTTCTAATTTAAAATTTTATTTGTGTTAAGAAAATGACAAGACAACAACAAAACTAAGGTACAGTTATTAGGGATTTGTTGAGGGCTGTACAAGATCTGGGTAGACAACAAGTACAACTTTGTTCCCAAAATGCAAACAATACCAGCTCAATTGTGGAATAGTTCCGTCGTTATAAACCTCCAACCTTCGATGGTAAGGTAGACCCATTCGAATCTTCAAATATCTATCTTGCACTGATACTCAGAAGGTATTATGTGCAAAATTCATGTTAGTTGATGATGCAGGCCACTGGTGGGAGTCAGTATCGTGAACGAGAAAAGAGTTACAACAACGTGCTCTGATTTGAACACAATTTAAGGACGAGATGATGTGAAAATACTTCCCACAAGCTCTGAGAGATCGAAAAGAGACATAATTTCACTATGGTGTGGCTGAATGTAGAGCAATCCGCCCTCACAGTCCTTCAACTTAAATAGGGAAAGATGCAGTTTGAAGATTATGAGAGAAAGTTTGAACAACTCTTTAGGTACGCATCATGCCTAGTGGACAGAGCAGCAAAGAAAGCAAGGAAGTTCGAGTTAGGATTGCGCCTTGAGATTGGTGGAATAATGGCATCCCATCAATTTACCACATATAGCCGACTATTGTAGACTGCCCAAGCAATCTCAAATAGATTGGAAATTGACCAAACTCCTCAACAAGGGGTTGAGCCTTCAGGAAAGAGGAAATGGAATGGGTCCAATGAAAAGAAAAGAGAAGGACTAAACAAAAAGGTAAATTTCGAATCAAATTTTGGACAAGTCGTTTCACCCTGCCCAAAGTGTAACAAAATGTATAGGGGTGAATATCTCTTTGAGAAGCATTTGTGCTATCGATTGGCTAATACAGGGTATATTTTCAAAAACTGCAAAGAGGACTTTTTGAAGAAGAATGACGAGCCAGAAAAGAAGGAAAAGACCAGAGTTTTCACTTTAACCTAAGGACAGGCCACGAAAAATCCGAATGCAGGTAATTTCGATGACGAAATTCTCTTAAAGGGTAAATTGTAGCAACCCGAAAAAAATAATAATAGAATAAGAAAAAAAGAATTTGTTTGTTATATTATTTTAAAAGTTGGGGACTAAAATAAAATAGGATTATAATTTCTATTTTAGTTTGATTTAATAATCAGATAATGATAGACAAGATTTGTATATTGATATTGGACTCATTTTGAGGGTTATAATTAATTGGAAGTTTTTGGCTCGAGAAAAAGTTAATTTGGATAAGTTAGCTCAAAGATATTAAAGTTTAAAGAAGTTGCCTTATTCAAGATTTGTTAATTAGTTAGGTGGTTGGTACCACACGTGAGTGGCCACAACTACAATTGCTTTTCCATTATATTCTATCTTATCTTATTAGAATAATTAGTTAATTCAAACTCCAATTGGTGGTACACGTTTTCCATTATAACTCAACCACTTTTTATTACTATAAATATTATACATGGGTTTCATATTTCACCATACCAAAAAATTTACACACACGTGAAAGAGAAGAGAGAGAGAGGATATTTTTGGGAGTTAGAAGACAAAAAGCTAATTTGCAACCATTATGCACTAAAAATAGAGAAAAGATTTTGGGCACGTGCTTTCATATTTTCATTTTATTAAACGAGGTAAGTACATTTGTATAAGTGTTTTCATTTCCTTATACTCTTATATTCAATTAAATATGTATGGATTGCCAGTAGACTTTCGGGTTCTTTAAAAAGAGAGATGAAATCCTTCATGATTATAAGACGACCTAAGATGGGTGTGTCGGTTGGTCACCAATATACTCCATAAAAACCGAGTGGTATGAAGTGTAGATTTTGTTTGTTATATAATTGTGTATGAAAATTGCACGTATCTTATTGGGTGTTTTCGAATACTCACTCTTACAAATTTTTACAGGTTAGTTCGGGTCAATTGGAGTGGTTGCGGGATGGTGATGCGGACTCCCTAGTGAATCGAAGAAAGGAAAATGAAATTAAGCATTTGTTCAAAGACTCGTTTGGTTATTTTAAATTGATATTTATGGTTGAAAATAAAGAATTTCTTTTTATTTAAATTGTTCTGCAATTATTGTAAAAGAAAATTGAGTTTTTTCGTAACACCCGGCGTTTTTGAAAATTTGGGAACATTACAATCACCAATTCACACCTGCTTTGTCACCGCCATCATCAACCTCAGTCATAGTTGTCGACAATCACCTTGTATTTGTGGTAGGTCCCTTGCCACTCCACGAAAGGGGAATTCTTAATGTGTTCCAAGACTTTCAGCAGCCATTAACGTACAAAATAACGAATTAAGCTATGGGTACAGGCCCATTTACCAGACATTTGACAGGAATTCAAAATTTCATGACGTGGCCAGTCGCTAAAGTCAAGGTAAGACTAAAATAAACAACAATGACCTAAAGAAAGAATAATCACCCGCCACAACCAAAAAATGAAAAACGCTGAGTTCGCGGGAAGTATAGATCCATTTTCCCCAGTGCCCCAAACCAAAATCTCCACATCTCCGTCACCGAGTCTCCTTACTCAAAAAATAGAGGAACCCAACAACGACACTCCCCCATCTCCGGATATATAGAAACTCGAGACCAATTCTCCATCATCTCCGGCAAAGCCGGAGTCTATTTGCACCAGCAGAACCTAAGGTGAGCTTCTTAAGATCTGTAGTCGGGCATTTTTGCTACTTGGTTGGTACACAAATTGTAGACATTTTGTAGATTTTTCGTCCACTTCCCGAGCATGTAGATATTTGGTCCGTTTGAGCTATTTGGTTGCTAGACAACTTCTACGTCTTTAGCTATTTTTTGTCAAGCATTCTAGCTATTTGGTCCATTTTCCCCAACAAAACCTAGGATTCTTTAATTTGTTTGGAAAGACTTGTATAATTTTCTGGTTGTTTGATTGACACCCCAAGTACCAAGTCTTTGGATAGAGTTGTATTATTATGTGGTTTTGTGAGTTGAATTGCAGTAGAAATAAATTTGAGATATAGAATACTTTAGTAGAGAAACTGTGATATTTTGTCATAGAAGTTAGGTAGTGTAAATTTCGGAATGTGTTTTACTTGAGAACGTAAATTTTATCTTATGCTCTTTTAACAGTTTGTGGCTGTACCAGTACAAATTCACATAGTGTATTAATGAATTTTGTGGCAGGAAAGGAGTTTATGGAAGACGGGAATCATGACTCGGGAAACGGTCAAGAATTTGAAGAAGTTTGGACATCAACCAGGGTAGTGGTGCTGAATTTCTTGTTGTTGGCATGACATTTTTAGTTATTTTTATTTCAAAGGTACTGTTTTTGTTGCTACTAGTCTGGAATTTAGATTGGGTGAATAGAAATTCAATGTTGTAGTTTTCCTGATATTGGCATGAAATTTTGACTTGTTAAGCCAGTTTTTGAAAAAGAAAATACTGCTATTTTGTGCTTGTATCGCATCAAATTCGCACAAGTTAAAAGATATGTTTACTTTACTGGAAAAATGTAGTGCTATTTTGTGTAAATATGGACTCCCAATCAATCAAAATTTTCTCATTTTCATTTGCACTGCTGAATTTTAAGATGGCATTACATGCTTTGTGGTATTAATTTGGAGTTGTTCAATGCAGATTGGATGCACTCCGTTGCTACTATATATTGGAAGAATGTAGCTACTCACAACATGTTCCTCTGTCATTCGTGGTTCGACGATGTTTATTAATTATAGAAATTAGAAGTATTTCTGTGCTATTTTAACTTAGTATGACATTGATATCATTTCTTTGTCAAAGTATAATAGATATTTGTTGCTGGATTTACGTAGATGTTGGTTGATGATTTGTAGCTTTGGTAGGATGATGTTTGTCGCTGGAATTATGTACATTTTGATTAATGTCAACCTCTTTGGCAGGATCATTGTTGGCAGATTTATGTACATTTTGATTAATGTTAACCTCTTTGGTAGGATGATATTTGTTGGCGGATTTATGTACATTTTCTTTGACCCAGCAATAGACAAGGGCGATCGAGGCTTTCTTCTTTATTTGTGTTCGGGTTTTGTTTTTAAGGTCTTCAAGTTGACTCCAAATAATGATGGAGAAGTTATTACTTAGTGTGTAGGGATTGCACCATTTATAAATCAAACTGATTGGACTGTATAAATCAAAGAGTTAAAAGAACTTAAACTGTTAGCAAGAACTTCTTTACATACTTGATCAATTGAACAAAGTGTTACTGCAAACAAGAGGGACATGTAGATGGGATATAGAACACCCATTCACTGCAAACATCATTAACACCCATTTACTGCAAACAAGATTATTGATAGACAGCATCAAGAGTAACCCCAAACCAAATACTGTAGATGGGATATAGAACACACATAACTCTTGTATCTACTAACCTAGGCTGCATACATAAATTAAGGACAGTATATTCACATTTCAAAACATACAAAATACAAATTGAAATAACACCAACATATCCTTAAACACGTCTGAAATTCACATCACATTAGTGTGTCAACCACATACAATAACTCAAATCACCCATTTAATCTGACCCCTTTCCCTTCCCGTTGCATTTATCTATTCATTTTTCCTTATTGAAAGTCATGTGCAATGATATGTCGACGCCTCATTTCTCGCTAATTCTAGCTAGCCCATCGAACTGTCTCGGGAACTCTTCATCTTCCTTGTCGGGCGCATCTGGACGATTAACGAAACTCGATTCGTCACCTACAACTTCATTTTTCACCCAATCAAAGTATCCACAGTTATCACTACATGTAAAGAACAATCGCCCTTTGTTACTGGTATCCCGTTTGACCTCAAAACATTTTCAATATCCGTGGTCACAACTAGGGCATCGGCGTTTTGATTGGCATTGTCCAAAATAATGCGTGTTTCTTCTACAACCGTGACATACTCCAAAATTTTCCCTCTCATTCTTGTCGATTGCTGTAAATGAAACAGTGTTAATTTATGTTCATGAACAAACTCAAATATTTGAAGTTCCAGTCAGTAATCTTCAACTTTCAGCAACATAACATTCTTATACGGAGTTTACTAAATCTCGCAAGATGAAGTAGAAATTCTTACAAACACATCAATTTTAATCTCAAGCACATCACAACCAAACATAACACAAAACTCCAGTGTCACATTTCTTTAAATAGTTGGAGAGCCGTCCATTTTAAAGAGTTTTTCTAGCAACAACTTGTGGCAGTCACTCAATTTTGCCCATGAATTATAATTTGAAGAAAGCATTGCACACTGAAGAGTGCAAATTTCAATAACTTTACTTTATCTGTAATGAAGAATAGTAGTCTTCATAATGAGCTCTATGTGAAGTAACAACCATTGTTTTGATGCTGTGTGAGGTGGGAATACTGAAATTTAAGGTGACTATTGGAGAGAAACCGAACTACACACTGTGGATATCATGATGTTTGAGAGTTCTATCACAGGTTTAAAACTCTTTGTCCTCAAATACGGTTTAAATGGTGGTTCTAATTCCAAAAGAAATAGCCATGAGTATAGCATTCGTACACGCATAAAAACCAACGGTTTAAATGATGGTTCTAATTCCAAAAGAAATAGCCATGAGTATAGCATTCTTACACGCATAAAAACCAACGTCTTCTCGAAGCTATATGCAAATATAGATATGCCCAACAGAATGCTTACCCAATGTTATCTGTTGATTCGGCTGGAGGCGAAGGAGGTTAGTGCTACAGTCGCGAATTTCACAAATTACTTTGGGTGTTCTTTGCTGCGCTACTTCATCGCCGACTTAAGGTGGAGGTTAGTACCAGGGTCGATTTCACCTTCGTTGGGTTCGTTCGACGATCAGTGAACGGCGTTGGTATTGGGTATAAAGGGTTGTCTTCGATGGTGGGGTAAAATGAAGATTACAGAGACGACTTAATTCTTCAGCATTTGGGTTTTTCTTTTCTTCATTTTGTTTTTTAATTACCTGCCACGTAATTACTTTTAAAATCCTGTAGGAATTCGGTAGAAGTTTCCCTGTACCCATAGCGGGATTGCAAAATAACCCTCTACATACAGCTACCTGCTACCCAGTATGCCACCATCTTTTGTCTTTAGTAACCAACGACCGACAACAAGAATCAATTCCACTCATCCGTCGGATATAACTCATGTTGGCAAGAGCATCGCCCAAAGCAGCCGCCTACGTCCGCCACTCTCTTTGGCGACCGTCATTGGCTATTGTGCAATTGACTGTCAGATAATATTTCATTGTACTTCCAACCCGCAACAGACCAGAGCAATAACCAGTATAAATTACAATCAACAGGGAGTGACTTTTGGACTGGAAGACATCTGCAAAGAATGATAGGATACTAGGGCCACACAGCAGAAGTTTGAGCAACTAAACAACAAGGAGTCCTTGAGCTCTATCTATTATTTGTTTATACTACTGCTTCATTTTTAAAATTGCATCAATTAAAGTCTTGTATTGCTGTTCTCAAAGCGAGTCCCAAAATATGTCACAAGATTTTGAAGTTGAAAGTTCTAGACTTAGGGATTCTTCTCCTGGCATACTTTCCTCTTCAAAAGATCTCGTCACGCTGAGTCATGGTCTTTTTTTAAGCGAATCTATCTACTTTCGGGGCTAACTAGAATTTCCAGGGATAGTTCTCAGTCCAGGGTCGATGAGGTTTACAACCCTTTAATTGACTTGGATATTAATATAAAGGATAGAGAGGTCTTTGCGGCCTCAGAGATTTTTACTAATATTAACGAGAATGATTTGGATGAAATTCGAGATCGCTTTAGTATCCCTGCTGGCGTAAAGTTGCTATGTGGTGTGCAATTTCCAACTGTGGATCACCCTTCCCATTATTGTATAGCTATCAATAGGCACTCAATGTATGCAGGGCTTATAATACCCTTTCACCCTTTTTTCGCATTATTTATCTTCCTTTAATATCAATCTTACCCAATTGCACGTCTTTCTCTGCAGAACGGGGGTATTTGTAGATATCTCTGTAAGTTTTGTGTCAATTCAGTCATTTAAGAAGAATGATAGATGGCGATTTTTTATTTGCTAGACTGTAACTGATTTTGTTAAGAATATCACGTTTTATTCATTGATCCACGAGTTATTTTATTAACAGCATGTAACCAACCTAAATGGGGGAAATGTTCTCCTACTTGGCGAACCTTTTATGCACTTATTTCCCTCGCGTGTTACTTTATGCTTTGCAAGGGGTGTGATAGGTTTGTGGATCACATTCCGTGGTTCAACACGACTTATCAAAATATTGCTAAAATGTCACTTTTCTAATGTTGGTTTTCTTTAATTCAGAGTTGGAAAAATATTAATTTCGTGATGAAAATGAAACAACATTGATGAACTTTAAGACGTGTATGTATTACAACATTACTCTCTTTAAATCATTGTTCACACTTACCACCCACAGATTAAGGTATAGAATCGGGTTTTAGTAGAATTAGTTTTGAAGACACAATAAAATTCAATTCATCCATTGTTGATTTTCAAGTAGATAACTTTTCTAGATTCCTCTTTTTTCTCCTTTTTAGAGTAGCACGTTTTATCCTTTATCTTTTGTGTAGTGTTGGTCTAACTTTTCTTCTCTTTTTTACTTTTCTTTCTATAGAATGACGAAACATTTTCCTCATACCTATGATTCACTGATTAAATGATCTAATAAGCTCCATTAATAATCATTCTATATTAAGCCCTTGATTGAGGGAGGTTAAAATTGTAAGAAATTAAATCGTAATGCCAAGATCTTTAGAATTCATGATTTTCACATATGAAATCAAGAAACATACTTGATCCATGGCAATAATTGAGAATTTTAGATTTGCAAAATAAGAAACTGTTAAATTAGAGAAACTGTTCTCTCACTTTCCCTCTCTGTGATTGAATGAATTAATTGATGGGTTTAATTTACATTTATAGGCAAAGAGAGACAGTCTCCTATGAGTCATAAAACTCTCCACTTTTCATCAAAATAGGCAATTATAAAATTGCAACTTCTCAATTGGGCTAATAGGATTTTAGTAATATTAACCACCTTTAATTAATTTTTTAATATTACATGGGCCACAAAATAATTGGTTTTACATTCTCCCACTTGGCTTGTGTAATATTGCTTCGTTATGTGGTATATAACATAATGTGCATAACATGAGCTAAAATTTATCATACATTAGCCACTTAATATATCATCCTTAAGAAAAGACTAATAAGAGTCATGGCGATTTTACACTATCATGTAAGTATAATTCTTCCCATGTACTACAATATTGGTCCCTACCCAACATGACACATAATGAGAAGTTCGATAATTGCATTACAATAATGTCTTCGAAAAGACTATCCCTATCAACATTCACATTATCCATTCACGTACATGTACCAACAGTTATGATAGGAATAATATTTGGTCAAAAACAATACATAAATAAGCTCAAAATGTCAATACATAAGCATCATAAATTGCATAATAATGTCAATGATAATTTTCAATAATACCCATCCTTTCGACATGTTCGTTGAACGTCTTTGGTGGCAATCCTTTCGTTAATGGATCTGCAATAATAAGATTGGTGCTAATATGCTCGATTGACACCTCTTGTTTTTGAATTTTTTCTTTAACAGCAAAGTACTTCAATTCCATGTGTTTAGCACCTTTAGAGTATTTGTTGTTCTTTGAAAAGAAGACTGTTGTAGAATTATCACAATAAAGTTTCATCCGCTTAGCTATACTATTGACGATCCCAAGTTCTGAAATAAAGTTCCTCAGTCAATTTCCTTGAATTGTGGCCTCAAAGCATGCCACAATCTCGGCTTCCATAGTGACTGTTTTGCACTTTTCCATGATATACCCCTCCAGCCAAGGGGAACAAATAGCCAAATGTGGACTTTCTAGTATCCACACATCCAGTAAAGTCCGAATCTGAATATCCAATGACCTCTAAGTTATCAGATCTCTTATAAGTGAGCATGTGATCTTTCGTTCCTTGCAAGTATGTCAATACTTTCTTTGCAGCTTTCCAATGATCAAGTTCCGGGTTACGTTGATACATGCCAAGCATTCCGACAGCAAAATTGATGCTTGGCCTAGTGCAAGTCTGAGCATACATTAAGCTCCTAACAAGAGATGCATAAGGAATAGTTGTCATTTGTTTGCGTTCCAATTCGTTTTTAGGATATTGCATGAGACTAAACTTGTTTCCTTTCTGAATTGGAACAACACCCGCTGAACAATTTTTCATATTAAATCTCTCCAAAACTTTATTGATGTATGCTTTCTAAGACAACTCGAACAATACTTGTGACCTATTATGGAATATTTAAATTCCAATCACATAGGTTGCCTCTCCCATGTCTTTCATTTCAAAATTTTTAGAGAGAAATTTCTTAGTCTCGTATAATAGACCAAAATCATTAGTAGCTAGCAAGATATCATCAACATACAGAATCAGAAATATAAACTTGCTCCCACTGACCTTTAGATATATACATCGATCAACGACGTTTTTCCATAAATCCAAAGGAAGTAATGGTATCGTTGAACTTAAGATACCATTGACGGGAAGCCTGTTTAAATCCATATATTTATTTCTTTAACTTACACACCATGTGTTTCTTTCCTTTAATTGAAAAACCTTCAGGCTAATCCATAGAAACTTCTTCATCTAAATTTCCATTTAGAAAGATGATTTTCACATCCATTTGATGTAGTCAAAGTCATAATAAGCTACTAAAGCCATTATAATTCTAAATGAATCTTTCTTAGAGACTGTTGAAAATGTCTCATTCTAATTAATGCCACTTTTCTAAGTAAAAATTTTGGCAACAAGTCTAGCTTTTTGTCGTTCGATATTACCATTAGAGTTGCGCTTGGTCTTAAAGACACATTTACACCCAACTTTTTTACATGATTTTGGTAATTTAACGAGATCCCAGACTTCATTATGTTCTATAGATTTCAACTCATCTTTCATAGCATCTAACCACTTATCAGAATTAGCGTTCTCAATGGCCTGTGAAAATGAAACTGAATCATCATCAACAATTCCCAAATCAAATTCAGACTCTTGCAGGTAAACCACATAATCATTAGAAATAGCAGGTCTACGTTGTCTTTGTGACCTTCTTAAAGCTATTTCTTGTGGTTCATTTAATGCAGGTTCATCGGTGGCAACTTCATTGTGAAGTGTTTGATCATTTATTTGTTGTTCGGATAAATTGTCATGTCATTCAACAATTTGAGGAACAACAACATTAGAAGAAGTTGAGGATAGAGAAATTTGAACTCTAACTTCTTGTATTTTCACATTTCGTGGTTCAAAACTCTCACTAACTTCACCATTCTCAATGAACCTAGCATTTCCAGTTTCAACAATTCTAGTGCTATGGTTAGGACAATAAAATCTATACCCTTTTGATTTTTTTGGATAACCAATGAAAAATTCACTGATTGTTCTTGAGTCCAGTTTCTTTTCATGTGGATTATAAATTCTTGCTTCTGACGGGCAACCCCAAATATGCAGGTACCTTAAACTGGGTTTCCTTCCCGTTCACAGTTCAAAATGAGTCTTTGGAATTGCCTTACTTGAAACTTTGTTTTGCAGATGCATAGCAGTCTTTAATGCAAACATCCACAAAGATATGGGTAAAGAAGAATTGCTTAACATTCACCTAACCATTTCTATTATAGTACGATTACAGCTTTCAGCCACACCATTTTGTTGTGGTGTGCCTGACATATTGTATTGAGAACATATGTCATGTCTTTCAAGAAATTTAGCAAATGGACCAGGGTGTTGTCCAGTTTCATCATACTTTCCATAATATTCACCACCTCTATCAGATCTAATAATTTTCACCTTTCTGTCTAATTGCCATTCAACTTCATTGACAAAAATCTCTAAAACATTTATATCTTGAAACTTTTCATATAGTAGATAGACATAACCATGACGTGAAAAATCGTCGATAAA